TGCAAATCACCCGCATTATGAACATGCAGGGTTGAGAGAACGGACTAAAAAAGTGTACAGTGTGTATAGCCGGAGGTCTGCTGAGATGGTGTATGAGACGCTGCTCTCCATGAAAGTGAACTATGTGGTACTGGAAGAAACGTGGTGTCTTCGCAAGAACCGGCCAGGCTGTGGGATGGTGGACCTGTGGGATGTAGAAGAGCCACAGAATAGGCACAAACCCTCCCTATGCCCGCGGCTCTTCCACAGGAGTCCTGCCCCATTCCACCGCGTCTTTGACAACGGCATGTTTGTGGTCCTGCAGGTGCCCTCAAGATATGTGGAAATCCCCCCGCCACGCTATCACAGTGCGTAAAAACTTGCCCATAGGTTTGGTTTGTACATGACAAAGGGTATTTTAAAGTTATGTAAGCAATAAGTGTAAATATCCTCAACAACCTTAAGGAATTAGTTTGCTATGTAAAAAATTGTTTTGATCATTATTGTTGATACTATTTAGATTGATTGCATTCAGTTAATGTTAGTATTGTTATCGTTATTATTATTGCTCTTTTCTCTTCTTTTTTATTGGTATTGAATTTTTTTTTGTTATGAATATCATGGTGATTTTTATTATGTCATTATTAATTTTATCAAGATCATTATTCTTAGTTTTTCGTATATTGTCACTTGTATTTTTTGTTTTGTTTTGTTTTTGTTGAATGCACAATATTTTTCTTCTTATCATTGTTACCATAAATATGAAGATGTTATTTGAACGACCAGTTTGTTTATTTTATTTATTTATTTTTTTTTCATATTTATTATATTGTTTTAATTTATTAGTGGTGTTATTACTATTGCTTGTGATAAATACTTTGGTTATTAATATCAGTGTAGTTGTTATTGTTGGTATAATGATGGAGATTATTACTATTAGTGTTGTTATTATTTATTTATTTATTTATTTATTTATTTTATTGCTATTGTTGATATTATCGTTATCCTTTTTTATTATTATTATCATCATCATCATTATTGTTATTATTATTATTATTACTATTATTGCTTTTGTTATTATCACTATTATTAGTATCATTTTTATTATGATTTATTATCATTGTCATTATTACTATTATTATTAACCTTTTTATGATTACTATTATTATCGTTGTTGTTATCATTATCATTGTTATTATTGTTATTATTATTAGTCCATTGATGCCTGGTAATGCTGCTTTAGTCACCAAGGAGCAAATACTTTTACTAATACAATTTATTTTTATTACCTCCACGAAAGAGGTTAAATTATGAACAGATTTTTAGGATTTTTTGCCAGAAGTGTTTCTTAGCCCAGCTTCGATGCCATTAAATTTTGGTGGCGGTCCGGACCGTGATCCTTATCCAGGAAAGTCTGACAAAATTCTTTGATTGCGGATTCCTTTATTGCATCAGTGACCCTATATCCTTGATGGAGGTTTGTGCTCTCCGAGTGCTTCTAGTTATTATCATTATAATTGTTATTGTTATTAATATTCTTGTTTATTATTATTCTTGACATAGAGATTGTTATAGTCTTTTTATGAAGAATCCCAGAAATCAAGGAAAAAATTCAGTGAAAGATATCAGGCAGAACTCAGAACTGATTCCTTTATAACTAAGCTCATATCAAGCCATCGGTGTATGAGCAAAATTACTTGACTAAGCTCACTGTCGGCATGGCATTTATTATTACACATTAGGCATCATTGGGCTAGTAAATATATGTCAATACATTTTTTATTATTATTATTATTATTATTATTATTATTATTATTATTATTATTATTGCTATTCCTATTATCATTATCATTATTTTTATTATGATTATGATTACTATTCTGTTATTATCATTGTTTTTTATTACTGTTATTATAATTATTATTATCATAATTATTATTTTCATTTTATTATTATAGATTATTAACTTAATCATTCTAATCATTATCATTATTATTATATTCCATTTTCCTTATGAATAGTTTTTTCCCACCGCAATTTTTGTCCCATTGGTTTTATTAGCAATTTTCAGTTTCATAACTGCGAATTAGTATAGATAACCATCCATTTTATTCAATGATATTAATATTTTTATTATTTTAGTATCGGTGATTTTATTAGCAGTAATGATGTCATTGTGTATTGTCTTTATTGTCATTTATATGCATGTTTTTAATGGGTATTCATCATCATCCTTTGTATTGTTATTATTGATATTGTTATCAGCCTCATCCTCATCATCACAGATATAATGTTTTGTTTCATTATTTTTTCACTGTTGTTTATATTATTAATTATTTTTTTATTAGTAGTACTGTTTATTATTATTATTATTATTATTGTCATTATTATTGTTATGTTTTATGTAATTGTTATTCTTTTTATTTTTATGATTATTATTGTTATCATCATTATTATGATTATCATTATGACTATTATTTTTGGTATTGGGATTAATATTATTATTATTATTATTATTATTATTATTATTATTACTATTAATAGCATTGTTATTACTTATTAATATTATTACTATTACAATAATTTTTGTTGATTTTTCTGTTGTTATTGATATCATCATTATTGTTATTGTTATTACCTTTTCATCATTATATTATATATGATGATGGCAGTGATGATGATGATGATGGTGAAGATCATCATTTTTATTGTTAGTAGTATTAGGAATACTAATGCTACTGATACTTATATTACTACTATTGTTCTTTTTATTATAATTATTATTTTTGTCATTATTATCATTATTATTATTATTTTTTTATTATTGGTATTGTTGTTATTATTACCATAGTTATTACTACTACTATCACTATCAGTATTTTTATAATTAATTGTGATTACGGTGATGATTACCAATATTGTTATCATTATTAGATTTTTAAAACGGGCATTAGAATAGCCATTGATTTTTCCTTTTTTTTTCTCTCTCTCTCTCTCTCTCTCTCTCTCTTTTTTTCATTCTATCTTTCTGTTTATTTTGAATGATTGTTATTAAGAGAATATACTATTCTACTAGTCTCCATAAATTTTTATGAATCAGTATTCTGTACTATTTTGGTGGTGGCAGTTCACAGTGGCTTGAGAGCCAAGTGACTGCCAACTTTAGAGAGTAGGTTTTTCATCCTGTCAGCGGCATAAATTTGTAATCGCGTCAAGAAAGTGGTATTTTTGCTACTTGCTGCGACGCCTTCTTGTGCCCTCCCCGAGTTCCTCTGTCGTTTTTATCTTATCTTCTTTTTCTTTTTCTTTTTTCTTTCGTTCTTTCTTTTTTTCTTTCATTCTTTCTTTCTTTTTCTTCTTTTTTTCATATCCTCTTATTCCATATTTACTCTTTTTCCATTTTTCCTGCTATGCCTCAATTTCTCTCTGTCCTCCCTTCTTCCCCCCCTTCCCCCCTTCATCCTCTTCCCTCTCTCTTTTACCTAATATCCCCATGCTCTGTCTCTTCCTTCCCCACCCCCTCCTCCTCTTCTTCTTTCCCCTTTTCCTTCTTCTTCTTCCTCCTTCCTCCTCTTTTCTTTCTGCTTCTCCCTTTCATTTCACATTGAGACTGTGATTCATTCGTCGGTGTAATATTTGGGATGTACTTGAGGCACATGTACTATTATTGTTGTTGTTATTTACTACTTTTGTTAGAGCGCAGTTTGCATTTTTTATTTTTTTATTTACTGATATGTTTTATTTTGTTTTTGTTTACATTTTTTTTTCCTTTACAGATGTATAAGAAGAAAAAAAAACTTTTTTTTTTTTCCATCCCTCGGTCCAAATTGCGTGCAGGTGCTCATAGCATGTAGCAGGCACAGGGTTGCCGTCGATGTCCCCGTAGTGCAACCCTTTTGAGTAATGCCAGCCGCAGCCAAGCTTCTTCAGGTTACCCCCTCCCCATTCCAACTTGTAGAGGATATCCCTGACGGAGCTCGTCCCAAACAAATGTGTGGGTTATTTGGGTCTGTACCTTGATTTTTGTTCAGTTTTGTTCTGTTGTTTAGGTTCCAGTGATAGAGAATAGGCTTGTTTTCACATGGAAGAAAGCCAACTCATTCTGCGTGTGTGTGTGTGTGGTAGGAAACAGGTCTTGTGGTGCTATTTAAGAAGGTAACAGGAAGTCTAGGCATTCTTAAGTATTGTTACTATTTTATTATAATGAATTGACAGTTATACACACTTTGATTCAAGAATGGCTTTATACGGAAGTTAAAGTTATATTTTGTAGCTCAATCCCACTATCAGGTTTACTTGTGTTATATGTAAGACTGTCACGTAGTTCTTTTATAATCTTGGTATATATATCAGCATCATTTCTAACCTTATGCTTCACACTTGATAAAGTTCCAGAACATTCCATAATGTTGATTAAGTGTCCTATTTTATCTAATTATTGTATACAGCATTCACACCAAAGCTTTTTCTTTTCTTTTTTGCTGTCTTATGTATATCATTAGATTGTTTGCTTAATTTGAATACGGATTTTTAAGAGGAATATTACAACAAAGATAAGTCACAAAATTGTTTCTTTAGGGATCTTAGTGACTGGTAATGACACTTGCAGTCGCCAAGAAAAGTCAGATTACAACAAATGAAGTAGATATTTATTTGTTACAGGGCAGTAGACATGTACATGATCTAGTGCCATAAACAGCTGTCTGTAGAGTTAGTGCTCTTGTATAGGTTTTTATCAAGAAAATAAAAAGAATCCTGTATGTTTCTTATGCAGAAAAGAAAAATGTAAATATTTATTAAAAATATAAACCAGAAAAAAGATTTGGGTGTTAATGATTTTTCCTCTATCACTTCTTGCTTCACAGTGACAAATTATGATTATGGCTCAAAAAATGGAAAGGAGCTGTGTTTCCCAACAAAATGTGAGAGTAGGAGTGTGACGGTGTTTATTGTGTGTGAGCATGTGTGTGTGTGTTTGTGTGTGTGTGTGTGTGTGTGTGTGTGTGTGTGTGTGTGTGTGTGTGTGTGTGTGTGTGTGTGTGTGTGTGTGTGTGTGTGTGTGTGTGTGTGTGTGTGTGTGTGTGTGTGTGTGTGTGTGTGTGTGCATGTGTGTGTGTGTGTGTGTGTGCATGTGAAATCCCAGTATCATAGATGAGTGTTCCCTTGTAGATTGCACACATTTCTTCACAATTCTTGGTTGATACATTGTTAAATGGTTAGAAAGTGACAAAAAGATGTTGGAATAAATACTACAAGAATTTTCACAGAACATTTATTTCACAATGACCAAACAAACAAAACAAAACGAAACAAAAAATATTATACAACCAGTTTACCCCAAAAACAAATCAAATGCTGTATTATGCAGATGCCACTTTCTCTCTCTAACCCAAACTTCCTTTTTAATCTAAACGAGAATGAGAAATGATAATGTCTTACTGATCCAACTGAGCTCGGGCGATGTGAGACACCTTCTGAGCCCTCTGGATGACTTGAGGACACTTAGTCTTCCTCATAAAACGGCAATCTTGGAAGAATCCCTCATTACGCGGGAAGCCGTTGGATCCATCTGCGTAAGTCACGAGGCCTGTGGGTTGCAAAGAAAAAGGGGGGGGGGAATGTGAGGAAGGTGCGGTCATATGTTTTTAATTATGGTATATGTTTTTTTTTTTTTTTTTTTTTTTTCTGGCATTCTCTTTTGTCTTTTGTCTTTTCTGTCTCTCTCTCTCTGATCTCTCTCTCTCTCTCTTCTCTCTCTCTCTCTCTCTCTCTCTCTCTCTCTCTCTCTCTCTCTCTCTCTCTCTCCTCTCTCTCTCTCTCTCTCTCTCTCTTCTCTCTCTTCTCTCTCTCTCTCTTCCTCCTCTCTCTCTCTCTCTCTTCTCCTCTCTCTCCTCTCTCTCTCTCTCTCTCTCTCTCTCTCTCTCTCTCCTCTCTCTCTCTTCTCTCTCTCTCTCTCTCTCTCTCTCTTCTCTTCTCTCTCTCTCTCCTCTCTCTCTCTCTCTCTCTCTCTCTCTCTCTCTCGCTCTCTCTCTCTCTCTCTTCTCTCTCTCTCCTCATCTCTCTCTCTCTCTTTCTCTCCTCCTCCTCTCTCTCTCTCTCTCTCTCTCATCTCCTCTCTCTCTCTCATCTCTTCTCTCTCTCTCTCCTCCTCCTCTCTCCCCTTCTCCCTCTCTCCATCTCTCCGATCTCTCTCTTTCCCCCCTCTCCCTTCTCTCCTCCTCTCTCCTCTCCCTCTCCTCATCTCCTCTCTCTCTCCTCTCTCTCTCTTTCACTCGCTCTCTCCCTCTCTCTTCTCCTCTCTCCTCTCTTCTCTCCTCTCTCTCCTCTCTCCTCTCTCTCATCTCTCTCTCTCTCTCCTCTCTCCCTCCCTCCCTCCCTCCTCCCTCCTCCCTCCCTTCCCTCCTCCCTCCTCCTCCTCCCTCCTCCTCCCTCCTCCCTCCTCGCCTCCCTCCCCACACTCACCGAGGCCCCAGATGCGTCCTCCTCTAAACTCTCCTCAAACCTCATGTTGTCGTTTCTCCAGAAGATTCCGTGGCCGTGGAACCAGCCTTGCATGAATTCCCCTTCATATCTGTGGGGGAAAAGGGGAAAAAATAAGTTTTTGTTGGGGGGAAGAACGTTATCTGTGGGTGAAGAATAGGGGGGGGGGAGTAATATGTAGGGAAGAAGAATGTAAATATGTATTAAAATGTAGATATATATATGTTAGCTGTAGGGAACAAATGGGATGAGATGAAAGTTATCTGTAAAGGGGGAGGGGGAGGGAGGGAAAAAGAGGTGTATGTAGGGAGAAAGAAAGTTATCCTTGTGGTGGAGGGAAGGGGACAGGTAAACGTTTGTAGGGAAAAAGAAAGTTATCTTTGGGGGAAAAGGGAAAACTGTAGGGAGGAATAAAGTTATATGTTGGGAAATAGAGGGGTGGAAAGGTGTTTGTAGGGAGGAAGAACGTTATCTTTCGTGGAAAAAAGGGAGAGGTGTCTGTAGGGAGACGGGAATTTATCTGTAGTTATATGTAGGGGAAAGCGGTCTGGAGGTGTTTAAGGTGAAAAAGAGTATTTTGAGGGAGAAACAATGTTATCAGTGGGGGAAATGGGAAAAAAAGGTGTTTATGTAGTGAAAGAAAGGTCTGTGACGGGAAAAAATGGGGGAAAGGTGTAAGTTGAGAGGG